GTTCCGTTGAAATTTAAATAAAGGAATCTGGACCAAATTTTTAAATAAAAAGAAATCAAGTTTTGATAAACTTGAGTTATTCTTTAGCCTTGTCAGCTTACGTGAACAGAGTGTCTGCACGAATCGATTCTTCTCTGCTACGGCCGCTGGCCGCTCTTCGCACAGCGCTCCTCGCAAGTGTCGAAAGTCTCCTGGTCCGTGAACTTTTTAAGCATGTCGGCGGACCAGCGCGGCTGGTCCTGGCCCAGGTAGTGCCCCGCGTTGCGCACCAGCACGTGCGTCAGGCCGCGCACCGTGCGCGCGTAGCCCGCGAGCTGGCCCTGGACGCACCACGTCACCCGGCGGGACTGGGCCATCTCGGACGCGCCGCTCCACGCCATCTTCCGCAAGAAGTTGGCGGTGAGGCGGTAGGGAAGACACAGGTCCAGCTGGCCGCTGACCACCAGGACGCGGAGGTTGTCGGCGACCTCGGCCAGCTGGGGCAACTGGGACGCGCCCACGTCGTCGATGAGCGCCCGCGCGACTGCCGTCGCTCGGCCCTGTATGGTCAAGAAGGGACAGGTCAGGTCGTGAACCAGTGCCATATAGCCAGAGCGGGCCAAAGGGTTGCTCCGAGGCGCGAGCGGCAGTGACAGGTCAATGTCTCACCGAGAAGGTAGCGTTGCCGACGTGCAGGGCCATGCGGATGTGGCGGTGCTGGGCGAGGTCCTTGTAACCGTTGTCCTGGGTGCCGTTCCACAGCAGGTAGTTGGTGACGGCGTCGAGACCCGTGTCTGCGGGGGAGATGGGGCCGCCACACTCGTCCTTTGACAGCTTCCTGGCCTCGTCCCAGTGGCCCAGCTGGATCAGCTTGATCTGGCGCGCAGCCACAGCCCTCATCTCGTCGCGCTCTGCCTCGTCCACGATGCCCAGCTGGTAAGCCACCTCGCTCTTGTCGATCTGGCTCTCGGCCTCCACCAGCGCGTTGATGATGATGAGGCCCTGGAGGTTGAAGGCGGTGCTGTTCGAGTGCAGGATCTCGTGTGCGAGGGCCGTCGCCATCTTACCGCCGTACGACTCGCCGGCAATGTACAAGTCCCGGCCGCGCTGCCCGGGGAACATGACGAAGAACTGGCGGAGCGCCTCGACCAGCGAACGCGCCACCTGCATGCGCACGAGTAGAGCGGCCTTCACATCTCCGGACCGCACACCGCGTGGCCGCCCAGCACCGACGACACTAACCTGCCTCACGTTCCTCGCCAGACCGTCGTCGCCGCGGGTGAAGCTGTAGCCCGTGCCCACGGGGTTGTCGAAGTACAGCACGGAGTGCGCGCGCGTCCACGCGCTGCGGCGTCGCCTGAGCTGCATGGTGCGTGGGTCGATCTGGTACGGGCCGTTCTCCAGGAACACGGGCCTCATCATGCTGGTCCCGGGGCCGCCCTGGGTGCCGCATAAAATGGTTCAGGTGAGTTGCCTTTGATATCCCGCCGCCGTTGTGTCAAGATAGACGCCGCCGTATCCCGTTATCTTGCCTGCAGCCAGACGACCAAGGGCGCCGTCTTGCGGCGCGTCTCGGACCGGAAGAACCAGAAGAAGAGGTTCGAGTCGTGCTGCTTGTCGACGGTGAGGAAGCCCGAGAAGCTCGGACAGCACGACGGCAGCATGGCGGGCACCGCGGCCCGCCGCCTGGCCTCCGCCGCGTCACCGGCCTCCAGGAAGGGGGTGAGGCGCAGGGGCAGTTCGACGGGGGGTTTCGTGGGTGCGGGCGGGGGCGGCCAGCCGTCCACGGCCTCCACCACGACCAGGGGCCCGTCCACCGTCAGGCACTGCCCCAGCGGCAGCAGCAGCAGCAGGCGCCACGCCATGTTGCCGGTGCACGTGGCGGGAGCCATTCGAAAACAATAACAAGGAGACCCGCGGCGCCGTTGGGGTGCCGGAGTGGACAGCGGAACTGCTCTGCACCAGAAGTCAGACCATGACAACCAAAGATAGCCGGTTCGAATCTTATCAGTGACCAGGCAATTTTTGTAGCGGTCGGGCAGACTGTGAAGCGGCCTGTCTTTGGAACAGAAACGGAGGGCAAGTACGTTACGGCCATTATAGGGGACCGTGCGCTTACCTCACGCCCTCACCTCACACCTCACGTCACGTGCGGGCGGCGCCCCGCTGCAGCTGCTATCACCGTCGTCCTCGGCGGGCGCACGGGGAGTGAACGTGGACAAGCAGTACTCGGTACTTGACTGGTGCAGCGCGAGAGACTTGCCAGCCGGCAGCGGGCCGGCGTTGTCCCCTCCCTCGCCCGCCCAGTACCTGACACTCTCGACACCCTATGCTCGGCTCGCGCTCTCTCACTCCGTGTGTGTACCCTCGTCTCCGCGAGCTTAACTTTGGCGCACTTCTTCCCCGTCACCTTTCGACGGCTTTACGGGCGCGCTCACGCCATTGCACATGTGCGCTGCGCGCGGACTGTGCGCGGTGGCGTGAGAAAGGGAGGGGCGCTCTCGCACGCGGCCCGACCGAGGCGCTCGCGCAAGTGCAAAGACCGTAGGGCCAACGGCGGCTGACGACGGCGGCGCTGGCAGTACGGTGGCGGCAGCTCGACTTTGGGCCTTTTATCTGTCGCCGGCGGTGTGGCGGCGGCGGCGGCAAGCGTGTCAGTGTGTCAGTGACAGTGGCGCGCAAATGGTTCAGAACGGCCTTAAGGGTTCAACCATTTATTGATTCCACGAACACAATCTGTCTCTATGTACACTGGTTTGGACAAATTTGAACAAATTTGAACCTCATGTTATATGCTGATTATGCGGGCTGCACGTAGACTACACGGCCGTACTGAGGAAGTCGAGCTGTGTACGGACGCAGCGGCCCGAGGCGATGTCCTGCGCGCTGGCGGCCAGCTCGGTGCCGCCGAACTCGATCCTGGCCACGATCTCCCTCGTCTTGGCCGCGTCCCCGGCGCGCCGCGCGTGGTCGTCGCTGTCCAGGGCCAGCCGCAGCGTGCCGCAGCGGGTCACCCCGGCGTCCGTCACAAACTGGAACATGGAGGGTATGGCTTGTGAAGTCAGTGTGCGGCGAGTTGAGGACGCGGGCGGACGCAGGCCGACGGCTCACCTTGGGCGGATTGGAGTCGCTGCAGCAGTAGATGTGGATGATGATGTTGGTCTGGCGCGCGCTGGCCGGGGTGTAGCTGCGCGTCACCGCCTCCCCGGGGCCCAGCGGCTGGTCGGCCACCACCAGCACGTCCAGCACGTCGCAGCACCACGCCGAGCCGTCCGACAGCGTCACGAGCTTGTCTGTGACAGAATGGCAGGGGTTATTGTTCCATCTGAAACTCGAAGCCAAGCGAGCTCACTCTCTGCTCACCTTGAGGGTGCTGCCCCGGCTGGAAGCGCTTGAGCACGCCGACGCCGAGCGTGTGTTTGGAGCGGCGCGAGGCAACCAGGCTCGGGTCCAGCCCATACAGGACGGCGCCGCGGAGCGTGGTCAGCCCCACGGCCTGGGGCACCACCACCTGTGGCAGAAGCGGGTCGGTGAGAGGGCACGACAATGACGCGACACACAACGCCGGCCAGTCCGGTCACTCACCTTCACGCGAGACCCAAACTGGGAGCGGACTCGGTTCTGCAGCATGAGCGACTGGGCGAAGCCGCCCACCAGGAAGAGGAACTGGATGGCGCTGGGTGCAGCGCCTGGGCCGGAGCGGAGGCGCGGGCTGCGGAGCACCTCCTCCACCTGCTGGCACACCTGGTCCAGCGTGGGGCGGAACAGGTCGGCCATCAGCTGCGGGGACAGCCGCAGCATCCCTTGGCTGGACCAGGACACCTCCCCCGGCCGCCCGAACTTGCGCAGCGCGTGCTCCACCTCCTTGCCGCGGAACTTGCGGTACGCCTCGACAAACGCGAAGGGCGGGAAGATGGTGAGCGGGCCGTCACGGTCCGGGTCGGCGGAGCGCTTGCGCGCCTCGAACGAGAGCAGCAGCTCGACGTACGCCGCCGGCCGCTTCCGCCGGAAGTGCGACATGAAGTCGGCGCCGAACACGGCGCTGAGCAGGCGCTCAAACTCGCGGTCCACGCCGAGCGAGCCGCACGCGCCGCCGCTCGCCTTGTGCAGCTCCCGCAGCGTGGCGCGCTCGCCGCTCAGCTCGTGCACCGTGATGTCCACCGTGCCGCCGCCGCAGTCCACCACCATGTACTGCGTCCACGGCGTGGCCAGTGCGCCCTCCAGCACCAGCGAGGCCATGGGGTGGTCCCCACAGCCGGCCGAGTGCAGCTGATGAAGCAGCTGGTACAGCCGCAGCTGCCGACAGCATAGGGAGGCTGCCTCGGGCTCCAGCACGATGAGCAGGTCCTCGGGATGGTCGGGGCTTGCCAACCCGGCCTACGCAACCAGGGTAATCAATCGTGTGAGGTGAGAGGAGATTGACGGGTCGGCCCGTCGAGCGCGCACGTGCCGCGGGTCTGCCTACCCCACCAGGGTCTCTAGCCTGGGGGGCAGGCAGTCCCGTCGAGCGCGCGTGTGCCGCGGGTCTGCCTACCCC